CACCACGCCCCCCTCATGCAACTATCCTATAGTCGCATTAACCCAATGTGTGTGACATTAACTCGGGGACAGAGAGGCTGGGGGAGTGTTCCCTCTCAGGCTATGTCTACACTCAGCTTCTTGCTCAAGTACAGCCATTCTTGCACAAGAACTCACAGAGCAGCCACACTGCCCGCCTGCTCTTGCGCAAGGAAATGTACAGTATGGCGTGGTAAGAGAGGGTGTCTTGCGCAAGAGCTACGCTCTTTTCTAACAGGTGTAAGCTCTCTTGCGCAAGAGGGCAGTTTGGATGCTCGGCAGGGATTTCTTGCGCAAGAAACCCCTCTGGCTAAAATGGCCCTCAGAGCTTTCTTGGGCAAAAGAGCATCCACACTGCCATGGATGCTCTTGTGCAAAAGCACAGCTCGCATATGGTAGTGTGTATGTGCTAGTGCCATGTTCACAGAATCACAGACTCCTCCTAGGGCTGGCAGAGACCTCAGGAAGTCAATGAGTCCAGCTCCCCATCCAAAACAGGGCTAACCTCAACTAAATCATCCCAGACAGGGCATTGTCACGCTGAGACCTAAAATCCCCTAGGGATGCAGATATTACCACCTCACTAAGTAACCCATTCCAGTGCTTCACCCTGCTCCTAGTGAAATAGTTTTTCCTAATATCCAACGTAGACCTCCCCCCTGTAACTTGAGACCATTTCTCCAGTAGCCCCACTCTGATCACGTGAGCTGCCCCTCTTCATTCCCTCTTCTAACACCTTCCTCTACGCACCTGCCCTGCCTCTCTCATCTGATGCTGGTCCCTCCCCTGCAGGTGTCTGTCCTTCTGCTTCACCCCCAGAATACCCTGGCACCTGCACCTTCCCTTACTCCTGCACCCTCCTGGTGCCTCCCCCTTCCCTCACTGCCTCTGCCCCCTTTCCCCTCTTTTTCCCTGATGCCCACCCCCTCACCACCCTCTGCCCCCGTTCCCCTCATGCCCCAGTGCTCTCACATATGCCGGCCTTCCTAATGCCCACCCCTTCTTTGAAGCCTTCTCCCAGCACCTCCTCCTCCAGCCCCCAATGCCCTTACCCTCTCCCCTCCCAGCATCACCCTGTCCCCCTCCCACTGACCCCTCCCCTCCTGCCCTTTTCCTCATTGTCTGCACTTGGCCCCCTGGCATCTCTCTCCTGTATCCTGTCCCATTGGTGCCTTCCCCTTTCTTCCCCCTCTCCGCTCCCCCTCCGCACAAGCCCCTTCCTCTCCCAGCCCTTTCCCTAGTTTTCTCCCTCCCTCTTTCCCTCCACACAAGCCCCTTCCTCTCCCAGCCCTTCCCCTTCTCCTATCTTCTGCTGGGGTGTTTCCTTAATTAGTTTAGGTGTTGGCCTTTTTCTGGCTTTGTCTGATTCTAGCAGAGGCCATGTGGAAGCGGAGGGGATGGTTTTCCATGAATGTCACTCCCTGGCTCCCGAAGAGCACAGGGCTGGTAGGTAACAGGGCATACTCTTGTGACTATGAAAGCATTGTCAAATTCTCTTCAAAGTCTTGAACTATAGCGATGAAGCAACAAAGCTGTGTTATTTTTAAGGATACAACCTACACATCAGCTTTCCCATGCTTACTAAGCAGACACTCAATACAGCAGTCAAATTCAGAACTGATCTTTCTCTAAACAACATAACTACTCTGTGTTTTGATTATGGCAGGAAAAAGTCTGACAATCGTGATGTCGGAAGTAGAATTGTGATGTTGGAAGTAGAGGGGATTGTTTGCTGATACATTGCTGGTGTTACTTATTGCAATCAAAAAATGTTAATATTTTGCTAATGTAAATCAGCTGAAGATGTTAATCATTCTGGTCCATTATTTCAACAAAGCAAGCTTCTGACCATAGTAGATGTTCAGATACTTAAATGCTAGAATGTTGCAGTTAATTGTTGGATGAATCAACAGCTGTTTTTTTTCCACAACCTTTCTTTGTCTTTCTCTGCTTCATTATAATCACATGTGTGTCAATTAAAAGTTTCACCTAACTTAAAATTCTATGGGGAGGTTGCCCTGCTTATTCTCCAACTATGCTTTAATAATAGTAGTATGGTAGAGAGATTGTGATTTAGACTTTAAAAATACACATTTCCACTTGAATGCTACACACAAGGAAAAAATGCTTCTGTATGTATGTATGCACATGCCTTCTTAAACCAGTTATGTCTTCTTTCACAGGTAATATGCATGTGTCACTGGCTGAAGCCCTGGAAGTTCGGGGAGGGCCACTGAAGGAAGAGGAAATATGGGCTGTATTGAATCAAAGTGCGGAAAGTCTTCAAGAGTTATTCAGAAAAGGTAACTTCTTGTGCCTTTAGAATGGTAGCACATATGCTTCTTGAGAAATGTTGAGAGCAGGTTAAATATCTTTGCTTCTAATGGACTGAAAGCTTGAAGAAATGACAGTGTGTCAGGCTCCAGTCTGGAAGGAAGTAGATGAGTTCTTAAGGCACTAATCCGTCATGGGCAAACCTACCGACATTCTCTCTTCCTTCTCCTGGTGGCCCTCTTAGCCCCCCCTTACATTTTTTTGCAAATGTAAATTAGATTCAAATGTCAGACTTTTGTAGCAGCCTCAAGCTGGTCTCTGAAAGGGTACTTGTACTGAGGTGGAGACGTTGTATTTGCATGTGCTAATTTTTGTACTTAAATGTGCACATACAGCTCTATGTGTAGTTTTACTCTGAAAAATTGGACCCTACTTAGAAAATTACTTATTTTTGTAGCTGTCACAAATTGGATAGGGCATGCTCTTTTAGGCTGTAGGGGGAGTGCACACACATGAGTGCAATTACTCCACCCAAACCCCCAAGAAGACAGCAGGACAACTTTTTAGCAGGGTCTATTGATTGTCAGGACTCCTTTCTGTGTTTCTGCCCCCCAAGAAGACAGCAGGACAACTTTTGAGCAGGGCCTATTGATTGTCAGGACCTCTTTCTCTGTTTCTGGCTTGGTCATGCCACCAGACAGCATGTAATCAGAAAAAAGGGTTAAACAAAAGACAAGTAAAGAAAAACCTGTAAGCAGCTCCCTTCAGGATATGGGCCTCTCTTACTTCACAGCTGTGATACTCAGACCAAGGGCTGCAAGCCATAAGTAGCTCTTTAATGTGTCTCTTGCAGTTCTTTGTGGCACGTGATATTAAAACATTGTGTTATTAACCAATATTAACTTATTTACCAATCAGTCTGCCTTATCTGTGTTATTAGTACTAAACTATAGAATACTTGGTCAGTCATTTTCCTGTGACATTTATATAAAAATGACACAATGAATTCATACTACCTGTGGGTCTTTTGGATAATAATTGCTAATATTGCTCCTGAACCACTGAAATCTGAGTATTATTGCTTCACAGGGATTATCGGTGTCCTAGGCGTATCCATGTGCACTTCAAAGTTTACTAGGCTCCATTGCAAAGCTGCAGTACTTTTTCTGCTTTGCACACTCCTTCTGGGAACGCAGGGGTTCTTTAGGATACAAGTCCTCTCTCCAAGGCTGGAGAAGCTCAACAGCCCATTCTCTTCCCAAGATTGTCCCCATCTGAGTAGAGTGCCTTTTGTTTCAACTTGTCCTCTAAGCCTGGCATGCTTTACAGGGGCAATGGGGCAGGACCACCCCAGACCAAAACAGTTTCTTAACTCCTTATTTTCTGGGGCTGGGTTGATGTACCTAGTCACAAATATTTAAGAAAGGTCCACTGCATTTTTTGTTTTTTTTAAGTATATAATTCAAACTCACAATTCATAATTTTAACAGAAGAGTAAAATAAAATTTAGGAATTGTCCTGTTATATCTGACTTACATTATCTCTAGGTTCCTATCTCCAACAGTGGCTAGCTCTGGTTGCTTTAGAGGAAGGTGCAAGATAATACATTAGGCAGCTGTGGGATTTTTCTCATCTCTAGTATTTAGAGATTGGTTTAAGCCTTAAGCATGAGGTTTAACTTTCCTGTCAGTTTGGGTAACTAGGGATATTATGGATATCCATGTAAATGTCCAACCCTTTAATCTTGCTAAATTCTTGGCCTAAGTTACTTTCTGTGGTATTGAGTTCCATAGTCAAATTATGTGCTGTGTCAAACATATTTCTATTTATTGGTTTGAATCAGCCATCTTTTAATTTAAATGAAATTGTCCTTGTTCTTGTGTTGCATCCTAATCTACGTTCTCTCTGCCATTCATTATTTTATATACTTTTATAATGCTCTCTTCTAAAAGTGCATTTGTGAATGCTGTTTTCAGAAAATGACTTGGACAAAAATTGTGGGCCCAGTATTGCAAACTCTTATGAGTAGTCTTGCTGGTTTCAATGGGGCTATTCATGTGAAGTACAATTTTTAGCATAAGGCCTTGTTGTATCATTTTTGGAAGGTTCAGACAAATTAGAAAGTTCAGGGTTCAAAATGTGGGTCAGCTATATTGGACAATAATTTTATTTTAAAGGATTACAAAGAGAGTTATGAAAAAATGTTCAGGGTTCAAAATGTGGGTCAGCTAACTGGACAATAATTTTGTTTTAAAGGATTACAAAGAGTTATGAAAAAACGCAGTTCACAAATTGGGCAGCTTTTCAAATATATTTAAATAACTGAGATAAGTCTTTCAAACCCCATTAAGCTTTTAAACTCTCAGTAACAAAAGGCTTATTAGCCAATTCTTTTAAACTATATAATGGGCAATAATCAGGAGGAATTACTACATAGTAACTCTGGAATTTTTTTAGATAAAGCATTTTTTCATTGAAGGGCCCCTATTGATTCCTACCACACTATAATTTTTGGATGTAAAAATTGCCTCTGGAAAACATGATTTCAGTTGAGTTCATTGCTGCAATTGAAAGAAGATTTTCTATTTCTTATCCTAAAGTATGGTTTTCCTTTCGAAATTCTAAGTTTTTTTTAAAGACCACCTCCCCAGCTTTTAAAACAAACCATAATCAAAGCTAATTAATCAATGCTTAGTATACTTGAAAAAATAATTAGTAATGGAGCCTGTAGAACAGGTTAAACTAACTGTAAGCGTGGTTAAACACTGGAATAAATTGCCTAGGGGGGTTGGGAATGGAGAAGGGCTGTGATGGATGGCAGAACAAGGAGCAGTGGTCTCAAGTTACAGTGGGAGAGGTCTAGGTTGGATATTAGGAAAAACTATTTCACTAGGAGGGTGGTGAAGCACTGGAATGGGTTACCTAGGGAAGTAGTGGAGTCTCCATCCCTAGAAGTTTTTAAGTCTCAGCTTGACAAAGCCCTGGCTGGGTTGATTTAGTTAGGATTGGTCCTGCCTTGGGCCGGGGCCTGGACTTGACCTCCTGAGGTCTCTTTCAGCTCTATTATTCTATGAACCCCAACTAAATCATCCCAGCCAGAGCTTTGTCAAGCCAGGGCTTAAAAGCCTCTAGGGATGGAGATTCCACCACCTCCCTAGGTAACCCATTCCACCCTCCTAGTGAAATAGTTTTTCTTAATATTCAATCTAGACTCCCCCATTGTAACTTGAGACCATTGCTCTTTGTTCTGCCATCCCTCACTCCATCCTCTTTGGAATCTTCCTTCAGGCAGTTGAAGGCTGCTATCAAATCCCCCCTCACTTTTCTCTTCTGCAGACTAAATAAACCTGCTTCCCTCAGCCGCTCCTCATAGGTCATGTGCTCCAGCTCCCTAATGATTTTTGTTACCCTCCGCTGGACTCCCTCCAATACATCCACACTTTTCTGTAATGGGGGATGAGGCAGAATTGGACACAATAATCCAGATGTGACCTCACCAGTGCCAAAGAAAGGGGAATAATGATTTCTCTAGATCTGCTGGCAGTGCTCCTCCTAATGTACCCTAATATGCCAATACCCTTCTTGGCTACCAGGGCACATTGTTGACTCTCATCCCGCTATCCACTGTAATCCCCAGGTCCTTTTGTGCTGAACTGTTGCTTAGCTAGTCGGTTCCTAACCTGTAGCAGTGCTTGGGACTTTTCCGTCCCAAGTTCGGGACTCTACGCTTGTTCTTGTTGAACCTCATCAGATTTCTTATGGGCCAATCCTCCAATTTGTCTAGGTCACTCTGGACCCTATCCCTACCCTCCAATGTATCTATCATTCACCCTAGCTTTAATGTCATCCACAAATTTGCTGAGGGTGCAGTCCATCCTCTCATCCAGGTCATTAATGAAGATGTTGAACAAAACCATCTCTACAACCGATCTTTGGGGCACAGACATAGAGCCATTGATCACTACCTATTGGACCCAACAATCTAGCCAGCTCTCTATCCACCTTAAAGTCCATTTTTCCAATCCATACTTCCTTAACTTGCTGGCAAGAATATCGTGAGAGATGGTATCAAAAGCTTTGATCACATCCACCGATTTCCCCATGTCCACAGAGCCAGTTACCTTATCATAGAAGTTAATCAGATTGGTCAGGCACGACTTGCTCTTGGTGAATCCATGTTGACTGTTCCTGATCACCTTCCCCTCTTCCAAGTGCTTCAAAATGGATTCCTTGAGGATCCCCTCCATGATTTTTCTGGGGACTGAGGTGAAGCTGAACTTGTCTTGGAGCTGACCTTGTCTGTGAAGACAGAGGCAGAATAAGCATTGAGTAGTTCAGCTTTTTCCAGTCATCTGTCACTAGGTTACCTCTCTCATCCAGTAGGGGCCCCACACCCTCTCTGATCACCCTCTTATTGCTAACATGCCTTTAGAAATCTTGTCTGTTACCCTTCACCTCCCTTGCTAGCTGCAATTCCAATTGCGCTTTGGCCTTCCTGATTGTATGCTCGAGCAATATATTTATACTCCTCCCTAGTCATCTGTCCAAGTTTCCACTTCTTATAAGCTTCCTTTTTGTATTTAAGCTCACCAAGGATTTCTCTGGTAAACCAATCTGGTCCTCTACCACAGTGGTCCCCAACACGGTGCCCGTGGGCGCCATGGCGCCCGCAGGGGCATTTGCGTGCACCCGCCAAGTGCTCAGGGCTGGCCTGGCTCTGGGCACGTGGCGCATGTGCAGTGCCGGAACCAGCCCCGGGCGCATGGCGCACAGTGAGCGCTGGCCCCGGAGGTGCCGCAGATTGGCCGCCCGCGCTATGGCCACGCGGCGCATGGGAGGAACACAGGCGCTTGTGGGGGGGAGAGCGCCAGCCCCGGCCCCGGGCGCACCGCGCGTG